CTTCAGAAAGACCTGGAATTAGCAGGTACAATTGTTTCAAAGAAAACAATAAGTAATGCACTCAACCGCCGTGGCCTGTATGCACGCTCACCACGTATTGCTGAAGAAAAAGCATGTTGAAGCTCGATTAAAGTTTGCTGCACAACATTTAGACAAGCCTGTGAAATACTGGGAGAATATAGTCTGGTCAGATGAGACCAAAATTAAACTCTTTGGATGCCCTAATACACACCATGTTTGGAGGTCAAATGGCTCTGCACAGCACCCCAAAACATTATGGTGTGGCACTGGCAAAATTCATATAATTGAAGGATTATTACACAGAGCTTAATTTCTGAACTTATTTTTCTGAACTTACTGAAAGCATTTGTACCTTTTTTCTGAGTGTATGTATAACAATGCATCTTAAACTAAGCTATATATTGTATTTCAGCATCTCCAGGTGATGACAAGCGCAAATCTTCCACACTTCTGGACTGCAGCCTGGTTGGCACTAGAATCTGTCAGTCGACTGACTCCTCAAGGAATCATGCTTCAACTAACAACACTCTGTCCACTCCACCCCCTATGTATGAAACCACACCCCCTGGTGTAATAACCCCACCCCTTGAAGCCCTCACCCCGCCTCTACTGGTCCCTCTACTGACTGATTGGAATGCTGCAATGGCGACATGGGGCCTGGCATGGGAGTTGCAGGTATACGGGCTCGGCTGTGTGTTCTCGCTCGTGGCTGTGCTGTCTGTGCTCAGCCTGATGTGTTTGCCGTTGCGCTGGCCCTCTGGCTGTGCCCACTTCAGCCTCCTCCACCTTCTCCAACTACTAACAGGTTCCAGTAGAGCTCTGTGGCTCCTCTACGATCCATATGGCCAAAAAGAGCGCCTACCCATAGCCTGGGCACGACTGCTGCATGAAGCTGCCTATCCCTGTATTACGGCATCATTTGGTCTGCTGCTTCTACTGCTAACCGCTCGCTCTTGTACCCAGCTACTTTCTCAGAACACCCTGCAGCGCAGCACCTGCTTGTTGGCCGCCCTAGTGCTGCTGCACATAGCTATAGTAATGGCATCCATGGCAATACTGCAACTCTTTCCCACCCTGCAAGTTGTGCCTCTATTACCACCTGCAGCATTCGTATTGATGTCCTCTCTCTTGTCATTCACATACCTGCTTCTTTACTGCTGTGCTCGTGCCGATGTCAAGCACATTTACCGGCTAAGTGAGAGCTCTCCCGAGCGGCCATCGTGCCATGCTAGCAGGTGTCCATTCACAGAAGCACGGATGTGGGAAAGGGCGGCCAGGACAGGGGTATTCTCTGCCCTGTTTCTGCTAGCATGTGGCAGTCTACGACTTTATGCTATGCTCAATGCAGGAGGGCTGACCGGTGGAGTCATGGTTGGCCTGATGCCCTGGCCCTGGTGGGGCTTCCAGCTCAGCTGCCGAGTCTGTGAAACAGGAGTATGTCTCACCCTCGCTCTTGTAATCACTCACCCCCTTCTCTGTTGCGGAGTGCCCCTTTCCAAATCAGGAGGCTGCAGTTGGCTCTTCAAAAAGCCACCCACAGAAGGCACAACGATGGCCAAACCCACCATCCTCTCAAGTCGGTGTGGCTGGTCACTACGGCCTGCAGAGAAGCTGGGGTTGTGTGAGGGAATAGCTCGGCGGGAAAGCGAAAGCGTGCCGCTCTACACCTTGGTGGAGCTTCCGCACAGCGAATTCGATGGCTTGGATCTCCACTATCCCAGCAGCCCTCAGCACGAGTCTTGCACACAGCTCTCCAAAACCACAAAGAAGAGTAAAATATCCCATGCATCCTCCTTTGCAAGCTTCGATGCCGACTCCACAGCAGATCTGCGGCCCCCTTCGCCAATCGACCTGAGGCGAAGCATTGACGAGGCCTTGAACAGTGAGGCTTTTTTTCAGCATTGTCTGTTCGGCTCCTCCAGGCTCCCTCTCAGCACACGTGGACCCCCGGATGGACAACCCTGTCGGGGAAACTCCACCGAACCCAGCCTATACCGCACTGCCTCCTGTGGGGATGTGGACCCCGCTACAGTCCCCAGCCGACCCAGGCAATGGAGCACTATATCTGGGAGACCAGCTCACGTCTCGGTCCATTGTAGTGGGTTAAACTCAACACAACAGTCCCAGAGCAGCCTACATAAGGGCTCTCAATCTGGGCAGCAACTCCACAGACGCTACACAACATTGGGCTCTACATCCTCCAGAGGGAGCGTGGATGTGGAGACAACTTCTCATGTTGATGAGCTTGCCGTTCAGGCTGAATTCATCAACGTCTGCAGGCAGATAGATGCACTTAGTATCAGTAGTGATACGATAGACCTATAGGGGGGGAGAAATCTTTATTCATCTACAGATTATGTTGTAGAGCATGGGGTTCTCAACTCTGGCCCGCCCTCGAGGTCCACTTTCCTGTAGAGTTTAGCTCCAACTCAAATCAAACACACCTGAACAAGCAAATAAAAGTATTCAGGATTACTAGAAAGTTGCTGGCAAGAGAGTTTAATAAAGGTTGGAGGTAAACTTTGCAGGGAAGTCGTTGAGAACAACTGAAGTAGAGCATGTGCCGTACTTTCCTGCAGAATTAACCTTAATATTTTCCAGTTTAACGTTTAACCCAGGGGTGTCAAGGTGTGCTCTTTGAAGGTCCACCTTCCAGCACAGTTTACCTCTGACATACCTTCTTGGAAGTTTCTAGTGATCCTGAAGACCTTGATTAGCTAGTTCAGGTGTGTTTAATTAGGGCTAGACCTAAACTCTGCTGGAAGGTGACCCTCCAGAAGCAGGATTGGATACCCCTGGTTTAACCTAACACTGGGCTGGGCAACTTCGGTCCTGGACGGCCACTGTCCTGCAGAGTTTAACTCCAACCCTAATCAAACACACCTGAGCAAGCTAATCAATAGGCTTGTTTGAGATGAGGCTTGTTTGAGGCTTGTTGAAATCTGCGCAGAACCGATCACCGGTGATCACCGCGAGATGCATGCCGGTTAGAAATGTGTCTGATTTATGTCAGACTTGCTCTGATGTCATGCTGACGTGTGCCAACAAGCTCTCGCGATGGCGAGGCGCCTGTGTCGGATTGTGCAGTCCAGCGCAGTTGCTCTCAACCGACTGCGCTGATCAAAAGCATGATGGGAAACGACTGACTGACGTCACAGCTTAATGCTCATTGGTTCAGACAACCGTGATGCTGCGTTCTCGTCTAAAATGTTTTTTTTTGTTATCTGAT